TGAAGGGTTCACCAAGAGCTCATGGTGGTGATGTCAGATGTAACATTTTCCTGGGTAGAAGGGAAAAGACTGGAAATCTTTTTTTTTTTTAAACTACATGTATCTTTTTTCTAGTTTACGTTAACAGTTTCAAACTGTAAAATCAATAGTAGGTGGTATTTTGTATTTTATAACATTTTTTCTTTCTGCTAAAATCAATTTTAATTTAGCTTAATTAAATGGTTTGTGATGAGCCATGAGTTAAAAAGTACAATTGTGAAAGAAGTTTAGGAAATCATTTATGTAAAATACTATGAACATTTTAAGGACCAATCTTTTTTAAATCAAAAAGGGACCTGACTGATATGAGAATTGCTGTTGCACCTGTTAGGTACAAGACCCTCATCAGAGCTTTCTTTCCTTATCCCGTTGCATGGAGTCCTTGCCGTGTTTTAGAATACATAAACTTGGCAAGAGTGTGCTTTCCGTTTCTATCAAGAAAGCAAAATGCCAAAATTTTAAAACCGATGACTCAAGATCTGGTCCTCTGTTCAGGAGTACCAGCCCATCTCTGGGAGAGAGAAAGGGGCCTCCTGCACATTCCAGGTCACCACACTTGTCTGATGGGTGTGAGTTGGCAACACCTAGACTTGTTTAAACAAAGTCGTCGGCTTGGCCAGGTTCTGTACTTTGTTTAAAAGTATAGTTATGTCTAAATTCATTATAGTTTTTTATTTTAATTGGGCATTATTAAATTTTTGTGAAAGCTCGTAGTAAAAAGCATCTAAGTAGGCAAGCTGTTTTCTTCCCTGTAAAAGCCATAGGGCCAACTCTTACTTTAGATAATAAGAAAAAAGAAGGCTGTTACTAAACACGTGAAATCAAAGATCATAAACGTGGTGGAATTTGAGCCTGAGGCACATGCAGACGGTCATTGAAACTGATGATTACTGTAAAGTAAATGAGCACCTGGCCTGGGTATGAATTAGCTGTGTGCACGCAGAGTTGCATAGATGGTCGTGACTCAGCGCTCGCTACGAACTGTCCAACCAGTAAGGAAAACTGTCCTTCGTAAATCTAATGTTTATTACGTTTCCTTTCGTCTTACACTTTTTTGTCCACGTTGTGTAAAAGTAATCTCTCTCGTGAGAAAAAGGTCTTCCTGCTGCTGATGCTCACAGTATTCACATGAACACGCGAACAGTGTGCCCCAGGGAAGGCTGCCTCCAGCCTGGATCGGACCTGGACTCCGGCCCGGTTTCGGGGCAGCCCCTGGAGAAGATGGCGGAGACCATCCCGACCTCCAGCGTTCAGGCCTGGCTAGATGATTTACAGGGAATAAAGGAAAGAATCCCACTTAAGAGTAGGGGAGAGGTCTGTTGATTTTTTTGAAATCGAATTACAAAGTGTCCCTCCTTTGGCTTGGGCTGGACAGTTTACTCAGTGAGCCATGGCGCATCTTGTGCGCTCTGGTAATAAGCCTTCTCAACAGGCGAAAGCTTCCCTTGTAAGAACGGGTGGTCTTTATTTTTTCGGAGTCAGTATCGGTGTTTCAAGGGGGCCAAAGATTGACTTTGCACTATTCCCTTTCAGTTAGAGACCACTGATGCTTTTTTTTTTTCCTAAGTTAGCAAGTGTTTCTATCTTCTTTTCATATACAACTTTGGAAATCTACTTGATTTGAGAGACTGCTCACTTGCTGCAGGGTGGGGAGTGAGTGTGCAGCATGTCTTTAAGGGTCCCCATCACCAACAGCAAGGCTTCCTTGCTTGCACTGTCCTGTAAGTTTTCTTTTTTTAATATAGGTAGGTGGGGCCCTACCCAGTATGTGTATCGTACTTATGGGTAGTATCTTTTTCATTTATGACTTACTGAAGTATGAAGAAGTGTTTTGCTTGTATCATTCCAGTTCTGAGCTATGACAGTTATATAATTGAAGGAAACATTTTTTCATAAATACCTTTAAAGATGACCATCCAATTGAATACAGAAAATCAATTATAATTACAAGGGAGAAAACTGATGTTTACTTTGATCTTTAAAGTTCTGGCACCTCTTAACCTTTTAGTAACTTACGGTATTTCTCTATAGCTTTAAAACGTTATAATACATTAGGGATCTGAAATAGTTTTGATTTTTAAACCAAAGATTTTCTAAGGCCTTAAAACATTCTGTAGGCTAACCAATTTAAACTTACCTGGTTATCTAATCAAAGAATATTCTTTGCATTTTTAAATTGCTGTTTTTAAAAATCTTTTAATTTCCCATTTTGTAAAATTTTACATTCATATTTGAAGTTGATTTTGCAGGTATGTCTACATGAAATTATACGTATTGAAAAAAGCAATATTAATACTGATATTATTAAAATGGATTTTGGTGCTATAAACTTGTAGCTTAAATCTAGTAGAAGTCTTAAGTATAGGTGAAATACATTTCATAAGGGTGCCTGTCATTTAGAAGACCAAATAAACATTTTGCGTTTAAAAAAGCTAGCAGATTGTTAGAGATTTCAAGGAGAATTATCTCACTTATTAAATTGCAAATTCCTGTTATTTGAATGAAGTAACCCACATACTCATCTTGTGCAATAGGTACACTCTGGAAAAGTTACATGTAAATAGAACTTTGTAAATTGTTTTTCCTTTGACAGTGTCTGATGTATTTTCACTTATAAAGAGGATTCCATGGTATAATAAAAATTATAAAAGAAAAATGTTTTGATAAAATGTTAGTCATGTTCTGTTCGTACAGTATATTTAATCCTTGCTGCCATTAAAATAAGATGAGAAGATTCATGAGATTGCATAAATTCTGCTAGTTTTGGTTCTGTGCTCGCAGGGCATGTCTCCCTGGCCCTTACGGAGTCGGGAAGCACAGGCCCCTTCCCGCAAACCAGAGGGTGGGTCGTTCTCCGGTGGGCCCAGCAGCTTCCTTCCTCTGCGAGTTCAGTCCTGTCCTTTCGCCCCTTCACTCTTTTAAAAAAATGTTTTTCTAATATTATTGATATAATTAACATATAACTTTGTATTAAAGGTAGACAACATGATGTGACATACATATATATCATGAAATATCTACCCTGAGTTATCCATCAGCTCACACAAAAACAATGATTTTTCCTTGTGATGAGAACTTTTAGGATCTACTCTCTTAGCAACTTTCAGATATGTAATACAGTATTCTTAATTACAATCACCATGCTGTCCCCAGGATTTATTCATCTTCTAACAGGAAGTTTGTAGCTTTGACCACCTTCACCTGTGTCCTCCACTCTCCACCCCTACCTCTGGTAACCACCTGGCTATTCTGTTCCTGAGATCAGTGTTTTTAGATAGATAGTCCTATAAATGAGATCATACAGTATTGGTCTTTCTCTGGCTTAGTTCACTTAGCATAATGCCCCTACGGCCACTTAACTTGTGCATAGTATTAGCTGAACACAAGGCACCCACGGAAACCAAACACACGGATGTACCAGAACCACTATTATTGCCCTTGGACAAGGGTGTGAGTTCCTGGGTCTAACCATCTATCGAACTGTCTTCTGTCCACTCTCACTGAACATTCATGTTTCTAGATCATTCTCACCGTAAGACTTGCTTACCAAAGAAATGCTTCACTATTTTTGAGAAAATGTTTTTATAAGCAAAGATTTTTATATTTTTATGTCGTTTTTATTTGGTCATTCTTCTATTCAACATGAGAATTCAGCTCCATAAGTCTGATACTCAAGTATTACTGATTAATATTAAATATACTTAAATATTGTATTATTAAACTTGATTCGTAATAGTGAAGTTTCTTTTGAAGACTATGTACTATGGGCATTTAGAACTTACCACGTCATACTGAGGTAATTTCAATAAAGTTTATCAAATATTCTATAGACTTGGACTTTTTGAAATATCCGTTTAGTTCTTATGTTCTAAACTTATATCTTACATACCCCTTCGGAACGAGCTTATTTCCTATAGTTACTCTATCCCAGTCTATTACATTAAGCCATATAAAATTGTCACTACTTGACCATTTTTACCCATAAAAATAGTAATTTCACATGGTTGAAATACCGTCGGTTCTTGGTCTGGTCTGGCCATAAAGGTGAATTGACAAATGTGAAGAAACAGAATCCTGTGGACCTGATGGGAGCCAATCCTAATAAACGAGAGATGATTTTTACAGCAATTCAAAGACATCTCTTACCAGTCACCCAAATCCACCAAGCAAAAGAGAGAATCTGTGAGATGTGTTCTAATGGGTTTGAGGAAGCTTTTAGGGATAAGTGTCAAATAATTTAAAAATTTCACAGTTCTGAAACGTAGGGGAATGAAGACCTTCCCGTTGCATCTTTAATGTTGGCCGGCCTTCCAAGGACGGCTGTTGGGCTTACTTTCTCCTGCAAGAGGTCTGGATGCCTGTCTTCCTTGGAAGGAAGGAGGCTAGGCATCTCCAGCTCCTGTGAGTCTGCGTGGCCCTGAGGAGACAATGTTCTCATGCCCAGCACGGTGGCCCCTGCTCTTCTAGGGACCAAATAATGAGGGTGGCCGACCATATGTGGGTCCAAAATCACGAAACATCTTTTGTCCTTTAAACGTGAAGCTTTCCAGGGTGCCTGGGTGGCTTGGTCGGTTAACTGTCTGCCTTTGGCTCAAGTCATGATCCTGGGGTCCTGGGATCGAGTCCCCGCTCAGTAGGGAGCCTGCTTCTCCCTCTCTCTGCCTGCCACTCCCCCGCTTGTGCCCTCCCCGCTTCTCTCTCTCTCTGCCAAATAAATGAATAAAATCTTTTTAAAATGCTTATTTTTTTACTTGGGAGGAAAAAGCTTTGGATAGAAGTCTTGTAAATATTTTTTTAAAGATTTTATGTATTTTAGAGAGCACGCTAGCAGGAGGGAGGGGCAGAGGGAGGGAGAGTCGCAAGCAGACCCCGCGCTGAGGGCAGAGCCCAATGTGGGGCTCGACCCCACAACCATGCCCATGGAAATAAATGACAAAGCACAGATGGGCCCCAAACCCAGCTTAGCAGGACAGGAGGACATCCCCGAAGAGGCGATACCTGACCTGAACAGAAGCCCACCTCTGGGGCCCAGCCAGGAGGATGAGATGGGGCAGCGCAGCCAAAATGCACAAAAACCTAAGACCCAGAGCAGTTACCAAAATAAGCTTCTTGTCAGGGAAAAATAGATTTTCTAAAGTCACAGACTCTTGCTTCTGAACATTTTTTATTCACAACTAGGATTATGCAAAAGCGACTCAACTCATCATTTCAGTCAAAACAAGTCATGTCCTCATTGCTTTAAAACAAACTGTTGAAAACAATATACAGCTGACTCTTGAGTAATGGGGTTAGGAGCGCCAATTCCCTGCACAGTTGAAAATCTATCACTTTTGCCTCCCCAGAAACTTAACTACTAATAGTTTACTGCTGACCAGAAGCCTTACTGATAACAAACTGTTGACTAATACCTGTTTTGCTTGTTAAATGTATATAATAAAGCTAAAGAAAATTTATTAAGAAAACCATAAGGAAGAGAAAATACATTTACAGCACTGTACCATATTTATCAAAAAAAAAAAAGGCTGTAAGTGGACCCGTCTAGTTCAAACCTGTGTTCCTCAAGAGTCAGTACAATGTATACAATGAAGGCACATTTCATACTTCAGTCGTTTTCTTCCTCTTCACGCCCCGCTTTCCTCTTTCCGGAGGCCTCACCTCCTGAACAGATAAAAGAGATAAGATGTAAAATTAAGTATCAAACGTTTCTAGAAATTTTGTCTACATTTGTTCTGAGCTATCCTCAACAAAATACTAGCAAACCAAATCCAACAATTATTATATATATTTAGGGGGGGGTTTCCAGTAATTTTTTAATTTTTTTATCCAACAATATATATATATATATTTTTAAAGATTTTATTTATTTATTTGAGACAGGGAGAATGAGAGACAGAGAGCATGAGAGGGAGGAGGGTCAGAGGGAGAAGCAGACTCCCCGCCGAGCAGGGAGCCCGATGCGGGACTTGATCCCGGGACTCCAGGATCATGACCTGAGCTGAAGGCAGTCGCTTAACCAACTGAGCCACCCAGGCGCCCATTATCCAACAATATATTTTAAGAAATCATTCACCAACTGATCAAGTGGAATTTATTCCTGGGTTGCAAGGGTGGTTCAATATTTGCAAGTCAATCGGGACACCTGGGTGGCTCAGTTGGTTAAGCATCTGCCTTTCGCTCAGTCCTGGGATCAAGTCCCGCGTCAGGCTCCCTGCTCAGCTGGGAGTCTGCTTCACCCTCTGCCTCTCCCCACTGCTTGTGCTCTGTCAAATAAATAAAATCTTTAAAAAATATATTTGCAAGTCAATCAATGTGATACATCAGTAAGAGAAAGGATAAGAATCATATGATTGTTTCAGTTAACACAGAAAAAGCATTTGACAAAGTACAACATCCATTCATGATAAAAACCAACAATAAGTTTAGAGGGAACATACCTCAATGTAATAAAGGCCACCTATGAAAAACTCACAGCTAACATCATCATCCTCAATGGGGAAAAACTCAGAGCCTTTCCCCTAAGGTCAGGAACAAGAGACAAGGATGGCCACTCTCACCACTTTTATTCAACATAATACTGGAAGTGCTAGCCTCAGCAGTTAGACAACAAAAAGAAAGAAAAGGCATTCAAATCAGTAAGGATGAAGTATTAACTGTCACTATTTGCAGATGACATGATACTGTACGTAGAAAACCCAAGACTCCAAAAAACTGCTAGAACTGATACACAAATTCAGTAAAGTTGCAGGATCCAAAATCAATATACAGAAATCTGTTGCATTTCTCTACACCAATAATGAAGCAGCAGAAAGAGAAATTAAGAAAACAATCTCATTTACAGTTGCACCCAAAATAATAAGATACCTAGGAATAAACCTAGCCAAAGAGGTAAAAAAAAAAAAAAAAAAAAAAAACTCAACTCTGAAAACTATAAAACACTGATGAAAGTGAAGAGGTCACAAAGAAAGGGAAAGCCATTCCACGCTCATGGGTTGGAAGAACAAATAATATTAAAATGTGTATACTATCCAAAGCATTCTACACTTTTAATGCGATCCTTATCAAAATACCAACAGCATTTTTCACAGAATTAGAACAAACATTCCTAAAATTTGTATGGAACCACAAAAGACCCTGAATAGCCAAAGCAATCTTGAAAAAGAAAAGCTGGAAGCATCAGAATTCTGGACTTCCAAGTTCTATTACAAAGCTGCAGCAATCTGAAGAGTATGGTACTGGCACAAAAACAGACACACAGATCAACAGAATAAAAACCCAGAAATAAACCCACAACTACATGGTTAATTAATCTTCGGCAAAGCAGGAAAGAATATCCAATGGGATAAAGTCTCTTCAACAAACGCTGTTGGGAAACCTGGACAGCTACATGCAAAAGAATGAAATGACCACTTTCTAAATTCAAAATGGATAAAGACCTAAATATGAGATGTGAAACCATAAAAATCCTAGAAGAAAGCACAGGCAGTAACTTCGACATTGGCCACAGCAATTTTTTTTTTTTTTAGATAGGTCCCCTGAGGCAAGGGAAACAAAAGCAAAAATGAACTATTGGAACTTCATCAAAATAAAAAGCTTCTGCACAGCAAAGGAACAACAAAACTAAAAGGCAACCTACTAAATGGGATAAGCTATTTGCAAATGACATAGCTGATAAAGGGTTAGTATCCAAAATACATAAAGAACTCGTACAACTCAGCATCTAAAAACCAAATAAACCAATTAAAAAATGGGCAGAAGATATGAACAGACACTTCTCCAAAAAAGACATCCAGACAGCCAACAGACACATGAAAACATGCTCATCAGCACTCCTCATCAGGGAAATGCAAGTCAAAACTCCAACAAGCTATCACTTCACACCTGTCAGAATGGCTAAAATCAAAAAACACAACAAACAAGTGTTGGTGAGGATGTGGAGAAAAAGGAACCCTGTTGCACTGGTGGTGGGAATGCAAACTGGTGCAGCCACTCTGGAAAACGTATGGAGGTTCCTCAAAAAGTTAAAAACAGAACTACCCTGTGATCCAGCAATCGCACTACCGGGTATTTACCCAAAGAATACAAAAACACTAATTCAAAGGGATACATGCATCCCTATGTTTATAGCAGCACTATCTACAAGAGCCAAATTATGGAAAGAGCCCAAGTGTCCATCGCGAGATGAATGGATAAAGAAGATGTGGTATATATACACTGGAGTATTACTCAGCTGTAAAAATGAATGAAATCTTGCTATTTGTAATGATGTGGATGGAGCTAGAGAGTATAATGCTAAGTGAAATAAGTCACAGTAAGACAAATACCTTAGGATTTCATTCATGTAAAATTTAAGAAACAAAAAAAAATGAACAAAGGGAAAAAAATAAACCAAGAAACAGACTCTCAACCTTAGAGAACAAACTGATGGTTACCAGAGGGGACAGGGGGTGACAGGTGATGGGGATTAAGGAGGGCACTTGTGATGAGCACCGGGTGTTGCATGGAAGTTTGAATCACTATATTGCACACCTGAAACTAATACAGCACTGTATGTTAACTAACTGGAATTAAAATTAAAACTTAAAAAAAAATTAAATAAAGTGGTTCTGAGCTGATGGGGGAGCCAGCCCTTCACATCAGAAGGCCACCCCCCAGGAGCAACCCATGTCCACAGACACTGTCTCTAGCCGGTCAGGTCCCACGAACCTGGGCTTCCCTGGGCAGCAGTCAGGGCAGAAGAGACGCTTCCTCCTCACTCTATACTGACTGACATTGCAATCATATTACTTGAAATACATTCCCCTGCTTCCTCACTATTTCACTTTTTTAATCTAGAATTCAGTATTTTAAAGCCTGTGGGTTTTTAAAAAGGACTGCTTGCATTTTATGTGCTTTCTCAGTATACTTTTGAAGTTTTATTTTTTTTAAAGATTTTATTTAGGGGTGCGTGGGTGGCTCAGTTGGTTAAGCATCTGTCTTTGGCTCAGGTCATGATCCTGGGGTCCTGGGATCGAGTCCTGCATCGGGCTCCCTGCTTAGCAGGGAGCCTGTTTCTCCCTCTCACTCTGCTGCTCCCCCTGCTTGTTCTCTCTCTCGCTCTAATAAAAAAAATATTTTTTAAAAATAAAGATTTTATTTATTTTAGAAAGAGAGCGAGCAAGGGGGGGGCGGGGAGAGAATCTCAAGCAGACTCCACACTGAGTATGGAGCCCTACTTGGGGCTCAATCTCACAACCCTGAGATCACGACCTGAGCCGAAATCAAGAGTCAGATGCTCAACCAACTGAGCTACCCAGGCACCCCTAAAGTTTTAAATATATATGTATATATATATATTTTAAAGATTTTGTTTATATATTTTTATATGAAAAATGAATGCCTCCCTTAGGTGACTCGTGCTTAACTGACATGCTTAACATTTCTGTTACTGTGATGTTACTGTTACCAATCTGTGACTCTAAACCTAGAGTAAAGCATATTAAACATTCAGAAAACAGTGAATCAATTAAATGGTGTGTGGGCAATAATATAGTGATTCCCTGTATATTTAAGACTTAAAATGTATTTGTACTTACGACATAAGTGAAAAAGGAGATAATTAAAGGGAAAGTATTTTAGTAATGTGAAAATGGAATAACCCTCAATTACTATTACACCCAAACAATAAAGACGGCCAGTTACCACGAGGACCACGGTACGCCCCTTGCTCTACCACACTGAATTACTTTCGGGCGTGGTGGTGCCTCAGGGCCCCGCACGTTTTCTCACAGGCCTTTCCATCCTCCTTGGACGCCCACCAGGCCCGTGTGCCCTGCAAGCTAACACTTTCTTCCACACCCAGCAAGAGGTCTCCTCTGAGCAGCCTTCCAACACCCGCCGGGGCACAGGGGTCAGACCCTCCTCTGGCCGCTCCCGCTCCTGTCACTGCATTTACCTCACTGACCTCCAGTGAAGCCTACAGACATCTGTCTGTGCTCCTGGGCCGGGAGCTACTCTTCAGTCCAGGAGTTGGCTCCTGGGTTCAGAACAAGCCCCTCAGAGTTGAATAAATTTGGTTCTACCTCATCACTGGTAAGTTCCCTTGCTCTTGGTAATCTTTAAGCCTTTTCTTCTGATCCCTCATCGTTGTCTGAAGAATAGATTCTGGCTCGTTCCTCTGAAAGCAAAGGAACTTCAGACATGGGACTGACCCTCAAAGATGAAGACCTGTTTATTCCCGAGTTTTTCTCCTGAATGTTGTTGCTTCCCACTGTACATTATCCCTTCAGGAGCCAACAACATTTTTAAAGTTTTTTTTTTTTTTTTTAACGATTTTATTAATTAATTTATTTGAGAGAGGGAGGGAGAAAGAGGAAGAGCACCATGGGAGAGTGAGGGGAGAAGCAGACTCCCACAGGACTCGATCCCCAGGACCCTGGGATCATGACCTGGGCTGAAGGCAGAGGCTTAACTGACAAACCCACCCAGGCATCCCAACATTTTTAAAGTTTTGATGAGAAGGTATATATAACTGTCAGACATGCTGAAATGACTTCGATTTGAGAGGTTTTGTTCTGAAAGCGTCATCACTTTTGAACACCCAAGAGGTTTTATGCACACATTAAAAACTACAAAGTTTAAATACTGGGTCAACTACATAAGCAGGCAAACTGCTCATTACCACATTTTCCTCCATAAGGACATAAATTATTTAATTGATTTTATCTGGGGGGGTGCCTTATTTTCCCAGCTAAGCTTTTCTGTGGGAAAGTGGCCCCAACAAAAATAGTAAAAATAAAAGGCCTTCGTACTGTTGCCCTAAGTAAATCACAGCAGGGCGCACCTCTGCAGCCCTCAGATGAGATGTGACCTCCATGCCCAACTCACCTTGGAGCTCCCCTTGGTAATGGTTTTTAATGGCTTCGGCGTCTTCCTCCTCCTCGTGGACACTGTTACGGTCCTGGTAGGGGACACTCAGGCCCTGCTGGTTCTGCTTCTCCCATGGACGGGATGTCTCATGAGTAGAAGCCCTCAAACGTTCTTCTTTCTGTAAAGAAGGAAATCAACTTTTTAACTGAAAAAATGAACTACCTTTGTGCCCACTTGAACCTACATGTACTACATTTCTTGTCTTCAGAGAACAGTTCTCCCCATTCCACACCTGTTATTACACACAGCGATCACTTTGTGCAGTTTAGTCCTAAGGCGTGAAGGCAACACAGGGTGAAGGGGCAGAAGACTCCCTCGCGCCAACCGCCCCATCAGAACGGGCACAGACATGGCCTTGGGAGCTGCATGTGGCCGTCCCCCGTGCGGCCAGCCAGAGCCCAGAGAGCAGCAACCAGCCTGAGGAACCTCGGCCATGCCCGGTGGACACCTGAGGGAGGCTGTGTCTGCTAAGCCCTGAGACAGACACCCGGCTTGCTCGGGTTCCACCGAACTATAGTGGTGCCCAGAGGTTCCTATCTGGGCCCCTCCCCCCAGAGAGCTTCCCCAGAGCTCCCGATGACAGGATGGGGAGGCGCTGGTAGGGGAGGGTCCCTGAGCCCCAGAGCAGAACAGTCACACCCTTCCTCCGCCTGCCAATCCACACACTGGTGTTCACAAGGCAGAGCTGGTGTCGAGGGAGTTAGGAATGTCTTTTTGACCTTCCTAGCCATTTCCTATCCGGCTAACAAAGTTTTATGATATCTGTCAAAGGTTACATTTTCTAAATTATCAGATTTCCCCTGAAATCTCATAAACTGAAGAGAGAGCACAGGAGTGTCTGGTTTGCTGTATCTCACCAGCGGTCACTGACATCACTATGGTTCACCACACGCTTGGGTTTGAGCTGGCTCCCTGATAAATCACAACAAGAAATAAATTGGTTGTGGCGATACAAAATTGTGAATTAGTATTCTGAGAAGTACAGCTCTTAATACCCCCAAAATCCTGGGATAAAGCTTAGCCGACGCACCTTCATCATTTCAGTGCGCTGGCACTCAGGATCACGCCCAGCCATCGGTAAGATTCTAATCCTCTGTGTCTTTGAGCATCTCTTATCAAGTGGCAGGGTCATCTTCCTGTGTGTGGCACAGTCTGTAGAGTGAGGTCTGCTGGGAGACAGACAAGATGGCTCGCTGTAGACTACGGACAGGGAGAGGCGATTACCTCAACAGCACAGACAGCTGCGGACAGTGGCCACTTCCCCTTCAGTGGATGAGGGAGGCCGGGCCGCGGGTCCTGGCGCTCTGAGCGTCCTCACTCTAGCAGGCAGCAAGGTCAAGGGCTTTTCCAAAGACGCACCCCCCCCCCCCGGACCATCAGAGAGAAAAGAAGGGATGGGAGATCTCGGTTCTGTGAGGGTGAGGCAGAGGCCAGAAGCCATGATTCAAGAACTATAGAGGCGTCCCTCCATCTGCAAATGGCTAGAGGGAAGGTCAAGGCAAGGACGCCTCAGGACAGCGCAGGACAATAGCAGCTAGAATGGGAGTCCCTGGGCCAGAATGCAGTACATTCCTGACTGGACGGAGGCATGTTTTCAGTACATCAGAAAGAAGAAAGGGAGATCCTTAGGAGAACGTCTCTGAGACTGGAGAGAGATGGGATGTAAGGAATGTGGAACTCAGAGCACAGTGGAAAAAAAGGACGCCGTGGAATCGTCTGTCTCTTACACCACCATTCGAGAAAGCTCAGGAAGAGGCCGGATTTGAACAGCATTTATTATGCCAGGTCTCTGCACTGCATGATCTCTTATGTATTATTTGACTTAACTGACACACATCCCTGTGAAGTAGGTGTTATCTCCATTTTATAGATAAGGAAACTAAAAATTAGTGAGAATGTGGGGCACTGGGCTGACTCAGTCAGTTAAGCGTCCAACTCTTGGATTTCAGCTCAGGTCATGATCTCAGGGTCGTGACATCGAACCCCGCTTCGGGCTCTGTGCTGAGCGTGGAGCCTGCTTAAGATTCTCTCTCTCCCTCTGCTCCTCCCCACAAGTCACACACACTTTCTCCCTCTAAATAAATAAAATAAAAATTTAAAAAATAAAAGTGAGATTAAGACTCTCCTTCAAGCTTAGACAGAAGTGAGACACAACCTCAAAGCTGTCTGTCCTTAAAAAGGAGTAACAGGGCGCCTAGGTGGCTCAGTCGTTAAGCGTCTGCCTTCGGCTCAGGTTGTGATCCCGGGGTCCTGGGATCGAGTCCCGCATTCGGGCTCCCTGCTCAGTGGGGAGTCTGCTTCTCCCTCTCCCACTCCCCCTGCTTGTGTTCCCTCTCTCCTGTCTCTCTCTCTCTCTGTCAAATAAATAAATAAAATCTTAAAAAAAATAAAAAAGGATTAACAGATTTATTGAGCGTAATTTACATACCATAAAATTCAGTCATTTTAATATACAATTAAACAATTTTTTAAAATTATAAAGTTGTGTGACCATTATTACAATCTGATTTTATTTATTAATAAAGATTTTATTTATTTATTTGAGAGAGAGAGAGATAAACAGAATACAAGTGGGGGTGGGGAGGAGCAGAGGCAGAGGGAGAAGAAGCAGGCTCCCCGCTGAGCAGGGAGCCCGATGAGGGGCTCGATCCCAGGACCCTGTGATCATGACCTGAGCCGAAGGCAGATGCTTAACCAACTGAGCCACCCTGGCACTCCTATACTCTGATTTTAGAACATTTCCATGACCTCAAAAAGAAACCTTGTGCACACCATTAGTCTGCTAAGTGCCCACTTTGAGGAGAGCCGCATGAAGGATAACAGCCTGGTGTCCTTAGAGGGAAGGTGTGCAAAGGAGCAGAGCGAGTGGCATCCAGCGAAGAGGTGGCAGCGTCGGTATGAAGCACGGGTCTGCCTGGGGTCAGGCCGCAGCCCCTCCCGTCATCTAGCCCTTTCCTCTACTGGCTGCACACGCCAATAACATGCTCGTGCTCGGCCGGCCTCCCAGCTAAACTCCACTGAAGGGAAAGGATACCGGCCGGCTGAGCGGCAAAGACCAGTCTTCTAGGCCTCCTACCAGGTGCACTGACCAATGTGAATCCATTCACTGGTCTTCTGGTTTATACAGTGTCGCAGGTTGGTTTTGACAGCATGAACTGGCTCCCTGAGAAACAGCAATTTGTAGTAAAAGTGAAAAAATAGCATGGGAACCAGACCGCATCCCTGGTGAGCTGCACCGTGAAATCATGTCAGTCAGGGCTGAGTCAGGCTTTCTGCACAACTCTCTGCTTGCTGCTCTTTAACTACCAGTAACAACATGTCGCGATGAACAGTTACCTGAAGGTGAGTTTGGATTTAAAGACAGCTTGTCCCCGTAGACCAGTGTCTTCTCGAACGAACAGGTGGCTGTGATTGCCCTGCATTGGGGCTTTGTAGACATCAAACACTTCACTGCCTAGATGCAGGGAAAGGCTGCAAACGAGAAAGTGTTCAGTACTGGGGTGGACATTCAACAAATCCCACAGTTTCCATTCTCCCCTATCGGCTTTACTTAAAACGCTGTGGAACTGTGTCCTGAATTCATGAGAAAAACAGAGGCACTGTAAATAAGGTATTCCCTTTTAAAGCAAAAGGTGCTAAAATTCATCCTTCCTTTAACTTGAAATCTAATTGTTTTGTCATTCTCCCAATCTCTACCACTTCATTAGTAAGATAAAAACAATTTTTTCCCAAAATACCAGTGTATACTGCCCAATAGTACCTCATACATGTGAGCTAGCCTTAGGCTTTCCCCCAGAGACGGCAGCTACCATGAATCTGATCACATCCTGGGCCCACTTCTAAAGTGTCCTCCCAGAGGCCTAGATTTCATTAACTCTTTAATGAAAGATGGCCCCAAAGTAAGGTCCTGCACAGAGAACCCCGTTCCTCCCAGGTACCCCTCTGGGTTTCAAGTGCCCTCCGGGCATTATGGGCTCACCTCCCATCTGACCACTTGACCACCCGAGCATTGCTTTCCTTAATTTCATTTCCTTCCTCGTCCCGGCGTTTCCTCCATCTTATCGTATTTTCTACCTGGTTCAAAACACAAAGGCATTAGGAAACCAATGTAACTAAACTGCATGTTCTTTTTTCTCCAATGACTTATAATCACTTATAATCATGTGCCAAGAATTCGTATGTAGTGGTAAAGGAAGCTCACAAAAGAACTAGCCCACCAGGCAACACTGAAACCCTCCCACTACAAATACCTAGAGGTACTGGTTAAACCAACCATTTTGTTAAAAGCTTTCCTAAGCTCTAGTTCACAGCAGTGGAAGCAGAAGCTAAGTATGATGCAGGATGGAGACATTATCACACACACTAGGATCTCCAAAGAAGAGAGGATGAGGCTCTGGGTCCACAGGCGTTAGGCAGTTAAAATGGAGACCTCTGCCTACCGCACGTCCGCGGGAAGGGCTATGAACCCAATGCAGGAGGGACTAAGCCTGACCTAGTAAGACAGGGAAGCTCTGGGCATTAAGTTAAAAATAAAAAGATAAAAGAATATACAATTAAGAAATCAACAACAATTTAAACTTGAGACTTCCACTTTGCTCTGTTTTTCAGTTCAAATGTGTCCTACCCATGTAGTAGGGAACTCCAAATCACAAAGGTAGCCTAAAAATTGGTTCTGCCCCAGCAGAAGCTCATCCCCAACCCCAAGCAAGAAGACAACAGCCCTGTGAGAGCACAGGCATGTCCTGCCATCCCAGGTCTTCTTGAGAGGAACTGCCTGAAGACAAGGCCTCTCTTTGTACATAGTCTGAATTCCATAAAGAGCCTGAGAGTTATCTCTTGTGGGAAGTTGTGAGGATCTACCCGCTATAAAATGTAGAGGCAGCTCCCTATACCTAACTATATTTATCCTAAAGGAAGTAGCTAACAATTTTCAAGAATTTGTATTGTTACTTCCATTGAAAAATTACAACTGGGAGAAAGAAGTTAGAAAAGTGACAATTACAGGGATTAAAAAAAGGGTATGTAACCTCTCCCCTAAAAATATTCTGAAAAGACATTTCAGTCCTTGTTCTAAAGTTATTTATTGACTGAAGAGTAAACATAAAAGATCATTTCATAATCTCAAGTCTCAAGTCATTATCTCTGTTTTACTTAACAAAATACTTCAAAAGAAAAAGAAAAAATCAAGTATAGAATGGTACCTTTAATCTTAACCTGGTTCTATCTTCCTCGTCAAGCACTTTCTCACCTTCAAATTCATCTTCGTAATACTGAGGATCGAAAGGTCTAAAAATCGTTTTTTAATCTCATGTTAGCCATATTTAGTAATGAATATTATTAATGCTTATAAAACAATCATCTTTATAACATGTACCAATGTTAAAAGTCACAGTAGACAAATAACTTCACGTAAAATTTAAAGAAAGTATGCAAACTAGTGTAGTTTCTTGAAATTTGATTTTAAAACATTATCTGAAAAAAAATCCAAGTGTGACTAATAATTCAAAGTCTTGTTTGAAGAAATATGTCTTCTAAAATATAAACAAGACAATGGTCTATCTTTTTTTTTTTTAAGAAAAGTATCCTGTTTAATTACACAAGAGCTTATACTCATGAACCTTCATGAAAAATACCCATCAATATTATTTTGTTCTCCAAAATCATTGTCTTTTCTAGCCACAGTGGCTTTTGCACTGAACATTTATGATTTCTCTAGCAAACTTTCTCAATCTCATTTTCTGATTTTTCAGCTTTACACTAGTGAAAAACACCTCTGTCAACTCTCATGTCTGTTATATTTATAACTGCCAAATGCTAGAAGAATCATTCACATTAAAATTCTCACACAAGGGGCACCTGGGTGTCTGAGTCAGCTGGTTAAGCATCTGCCTTCAGCTCCCATCCTGATCCCAGAGTCCCGGGATCAAGTCCTGCATCAGGCTGCCCACTCAGCAGGGAGTCTGCTTCGCCCTCTGACCCTCCCCGCTCTCATGCACTCTCTCTCTAATAAATAAATAAAACCTTTAGAGACACCTGCGTGGCTCAGTGGGTTAAGTGTCTGCCTTCGGTCATGATCCTCAGGTCCTGGGATCGAGTCCCGCATTGGGCTCCCTGCTCAACAGGGAGCCTGCTTCTCCCTCTCCTGCTCCCCCTGCTTGTAGGCTCGCTCTCTGACAAATAAATAAAATCTTAAAATAAAAATCTTTAAAAATAAAATTCTCACACCAGTAACTCATCATTTTTTACCACAGCACATCCTAAATTTACTTTTCCAGAGGTATATGAGGAATCTCCTATCTTTATAATTAGCCAACTCATGATAAGAAAAACATTTACATTCCACACATTTTAATTTAGTATCTTGAAAAAAAACTTTAATCAGTCCTCTTACTTGGGTTCTATGCTGAGAAATTTAGGTAGTTTAACAAAGTACAATTCATTTCCTAAATCAGAGTTGATACTGGGCATTTCTACTTCTATTCTGGTTTCAGAAATCGGCTCTTCCTCCTGTTGGTCCTGAGGTACTCCATGTTCATCCTAAGAGAGGAATCAGGATGTGAGAGCTTGAAGGGAAATTAAAGATGCTCTAGCTCTTCTAGAGTACTAGGAGATACAGGTGTGACCGAAAATAAATTCAGACACCATTTTCGGAACAAAACAGCAACCCCTCCAGGCCTCTCCCTAAAATTTCATCCTCTCCCCCAAAACTACCACCATGGGAAAAAAGATCTGTTAGCCTGCATTACCAGAAAAAATATTTATTTTGTCAACATACCTGGTTTGCATAAGACATTAAATGACAGAACTGTGAAAATGTACAACCCCACAGTACTAAGTAACTATTAAAATCGGAGAAGAAAGTCAAATAGCACATGCTTTCTGGCACAGGTTTGCATTAAGAAAAATCAGGGGCACCTGGGTGGCTCAGTCGGTTAAGCATCTGCCTTTGGTTCAGGTCATGACCCCAGGGTCCTGGGATTGAGTCCTGCATCTCGGGAGCCAGTGGGGAGCCTGCTTCTCCCTCTGCCTGCCCCTCCCCCTGCTTGTGTTTTCTCTCTCTCTCTCACACACAAATAAGTAAATAAAATCTTTAAAAAAGAAAGAAAGAAAGACTTAAATCAAGGGGTGCCTGGGTGGCTCAGTCGGTTAAGTGTCTGCCTTTGGCTCAGGTCATGACCCCAGGGTCCTGGGATTGAGCCCGAATCGGGTTCCCTGCTCAGCGGGGAGTCTGCTTCTTCCTCTCCTCCCTGCTCATGCCCTCTCTATCTCTTTGTCTCGCTCTCAAATAAATAAAATCTTTAAAAAGAAAAGAAAAACTTAAAGGTTTTCAATTACGAGTCCTCACAGTTTAGCCCCTAAAGTTTGACATCACCTCATTCTGAGCAGTTTCTTCTGTGCCCTCAATATCCACAGTTCCCAACATAGCTGAGAAAGTCACCCATTCCTCAGATGTTTCAGACCGCTACTCAATTATCAATGTCCTCTCTCCATAGGAGTCAGACCCCTCAGCCTTTGAAACTTTTTTAGCCTGGTGATGGGTATTAAGGAGGGCACGTACTGCATGGAGCACTGGGTGTTATATGAAAACAATGGATCGTGGATCACCACATCAAAAACCAGTGATGTACCGTATGGTGACTAACATAACATAATAAAATTTAAAAAACAACAACTTTCTTTTTAACTTCGAACACTGGGACCCGTTGAGGTTAGTGATTGTACTTACAGCAGGCTGCCCTGGAATAGTTTGTTCACTGTCCCCATCGCTCTCTGAAGAAATGTCATCTATGTCTCCAAACAGATCCATGAAGCCTGGGAGGAAATATACAGTATTAATTTCTCTCAGTGAGTTTCTTCCCACAGTTCTTAGCCCTTCACTTCAACATTTTCCCAAGACTCAGAAACCACACCTCCACTAAGCCAACCTTGAACTCGCTCCCTGAGCCTAGCCCCCTGAAGCATGAGAAGCATCTATGGAGAAGGAAGGTGGCCAAGTTGGTTGCTGGGAGGCAAAGCTGCCGTGATAGCCAGTGTTCAGCGTAGTTCCTGGTGGTTCCTGCCTCTGGTATTCCTGCCCCTGCAGTGTCCTCCAACACGTGTCATGGTTGGTCTATGTGATCAATAGAATACAACCTCACTTCCAAGGCTAGGCCATGACACTGGCTTTTCTGCCTCACTCTTTCTCTCCTTAGGCCGCTTGCCCTGGAGAAGCCAGTTGCCAAGACGTGAAGACACTCAAATTGCTCTGGAGAGGCTCATGTGGCACTAACTGAGGCATCCTGCCAAGGGCACATGAGTGAGCCATCTTGGAAAGAGATCCTTCAGTCCCAGGCAAGCCTGTAGATAATGCATTCTTAGCCAACATCTTGACTGCAGCCTCATCAAAAGACCCTGAGCCACAACTACCCTGCTAAGCCAATCATGACCCTCAGAAATTGTGGAATATTAAATGTTAGTTGTTCTCATCTAGACTTCTCGGGAGAAGCTGAGTAGCTGGAGAAGGTGTACCTGGAGAAGTAACTGGAGAAGGTGAGGGGTGGTATGCAGGTAACACAAGATTACGTTTAATGCCCTCTTATCTCCCTAAGCCTTTGGATTCCCTCCCCATAATGCCAGGGAAGCACTGAGTTTGTTGTAGCTAACCAACCCCGGAGCCATGTCCTGCTCTATGTGCTAACACATCAGATCCTGAATATGTAAGTGCACCCAAACCAGTCAGTTTGGCCCAAGCTAGTGTTATAGTCTGTCCTTCATCTCACATTCTTAAAATATATTTCCATACATATTCCCTAGGCTTCTCCCTATATCAGCAAAACCTTGTAGTTCTTTTGGGGTATAAGCTATTTCTTCTTCAGTTGGGAGTTTGTGCTTTGTCAGAGTAAGAAAAGATCCTAGTGATGGGTCGACTGGTAACAAGTGGGTCAGACAGCACGCAGTTAGCTAAGTCTTGAGGGGAATGGAAACTGTCCCAGGTGAGGTTATTACAGTGTTTTCAAGCAAGGAAAGACCAGTTTCCCCAGACACAGGGAAGCAAACTGCTTCTCACAGACAAGGAAGAGTGACTAGGAAATTGAATTTTTCTGTTTCATCTGAGTCCAAACAATGTCCTGTCACATGAGAGACTTCAAGAGGCTGTGAATTCAACTAATGTTGCAATTCTGCAACCGCAAAAGTGAATGTTTAATATTCAGCTACCTCAGCCCTCTGACTGCGAGATAGGAGATTCTTTTAGGGCTGTTAGGAAAGCTCACTGGTTCTCCGACCCTGACCTGAGCTGAATGTTTAAAGACCTAAGCTTGTAATATTCTTCCGTAAGTGCTCCAGGGCACTTGGAAGTAACCACCCCACACCGTAGTCTGAGTAATCATCACTACTGCCTAACAAGCGTGGCAGCCACCTGAGCCCTCAACCAGAGGGGATACTCTGATTCATCATGCCACCACACCGTGCATTACCAGCATCCCATTTCACTGGTGAGGAGCTCAGACCTGCATTCAAACCCAAACTAACCCACAAATCACATCTTCGAGGATTTGTCTCCTGAACTACCCAGTCAGGTCCAAGTTGGGGAACAGAAAATATATCGGCTGTCTATACGGATAGAATTTAATTAAATTTTTTTTACTCAGGTTTCTACCCCTTTAGAAATGAGGGAACAACGGGAAGAGGTGGAATTATTAAACTTAAAAACTTATAGTATGGAGCTGAAATTCATACCTGAGGAAGAGAAGTATCCAGCTGGCACTGTTGGGGGGGGGGGCGGCGGGGGGAAAATACAATGAAGCTGACTCTCCAAGCTTTGGTAAAGCTGCAAATTGGATGAGCTGCTGCAGGAAGGAACCGCCTCTGCTGAGGTGAAGGTGTTTGTGGACCCCCTTAGAAAAACTGCAAGTTGACAGGAAGCTTCCAGAAAGTTCCATGAATAAACAGGAAGGAGCAATCTCTTCTTTGTTATTCAGTCTTCCAGTCTCCCTCCAGCGCCCCCTAACAGGGGGCAGCTGGCAAAGATGAAATGTGCTTGCAGAATCTTGGCCCCAGCATCACTGAGCTTGGTATAAAAGGGTGGGTTTGGAGATGAAAGGATAAGAGCTTAATTGTGGATACACGTGTCTACTAGTTAAAAAAACAGAAACAAAGTATATTACCTTAAAAAGGACAGCCAGCACGAAGGCTCTTAAAAGCCAGGCATAGGAGTTTCAACAATTTGATAAGCCAAGAAACAGCAAGAGACTAAAGGTTTTGGTGTTAGGGAAGTGGCACATTAAAAAAAAAAAAAAGCAAAGGGACATTGGTGATTTAGGACCTTCTTTTTCAATGTCACTTTTCTTTCTCTATAGTTAGGTTTCAGGTAAGTCTCCCACAGCCAGCACTCCCAGACTGTACCAACAGCATTAGAAAGAAAGTAGGGTAGAATCCATTCATAAGGGAAAGATTAGTATATGTAGAACACCACAGAAAAGACAAATGGTAAATGTGTGTGGTAAATTTAAAACATACCTGCAGGGGCGCCTGGGTGGCTGTCAGTTACATGTCTGACTCTTCGTTTCGGCTCAGGTCATGATCTCAGGGTTGTGAGATCAAGCCCCGAGTCAAGCCCCTGGAGTCAGGCTCCACGCTCAGCAGGTAGTCTGCTAGATATACTCTCCCTCTGCCCCTCCCCGCCACTTGTGAGCGCACGATCCCCACCCCCCAAATAAAGAAATCCTTTAAAAAAAAAAAAAATGAAATAATAAAACATACCTGCAACTTCTTTGCCATCCCAACCATCAAGAGGAGTCAAATTTCCCTCCCTTTGAATACAGGTACACATTAGTGACTCACTTCTAATGAACAGGTGTTGGATTTTGATGTGACTTTCCATGCTAACCATAAAACCTCAAAAAGGTAATATAGCTTTTACCTGACTCCCTTTCTTAGGGTGCTCATCTTTGGATCCCAGCCATTATGCTGTGAGAAAGTAGGGCCAGGACTGGGATGCAAAAGTGAGACACTCACCTTGAGTGAAAAATATAAGGGGTACCCAAATCTCTGTGATCAAGACAATGATACTGCAATACAATGTTTTTTATTTTTTTAAAAATATATTTATTTATTTTAGAGAGAGTGCACACACAAGCAGGGAGAGGGGCAGAAGGAGAGGGAGAGAATCTCAAGCAGGCTCCAACTCCCTGCTGAGCACAGAGGCCGATGAAGGGCTCAATCTCACCACCCTGATATCATCACCTGAGCAGAAATCCAGAGTTTGCCGCTTAACCGACTGAGCCACCCCGGCGCCCCAATACAATGTTTTTTAAAACTTCATGTGAAAAACCCATGAACAAAATATCAAAATTTTAAGAAAAGCAAGGATCCATCCAGCTCTGTACTTGTGCAACTCTCCTCACTTGCCTTACCCTAATTCCAGCCATCAGATCCTGTTTACGTAAAATCCTGACATTTTGCTCATCATGGATTTTTGCATTAGTTCCAATTTTTTTAAATGTCGTATCACAATACCATTTATCTTGATTACTATAATGGACTGAATAGGGACCCTCTCACACAAGGTTCATATACACCCAGAACTTCAGAATGTGACTTTATTTGGCAGTAGGGTCTTTGCAGATATAATTAGTTAAGATGAAGTCTACTGAATTAGGGTTGGTCTTAAACCCACTGATTGGTGTCCTCATAAGGAGAGGAAGACCTGGAGACATAGAGAGACACAAAGCAAACAAAAGGAAATGAGCCATGTGAAGACCAAGGAAAGACTGGAGTTCTGTTGCCAAAAGCCAAGGACTGCCAGGAGCCCCTAGAAGCTCGGACAAGGCAAGGCAGGATTCTTCTCTAGAGCTTTCAGAGGGAGCCTGGCCCTGACAATACTATGATTCAGGATTTCTAGGCTCCAGAACTGTGAGAATACATTTCTGCAGTTTTAAGCTACCCAGTTTGTGGTACTGTCTTATAGCAAACTGAAATAAGTACAGAAGCTCTTTTTGGGCCCCTTAAACTCTGCACCCCAGAGGAATGCCTCACTTGCTTCCCCTGGCCCCGACTAGGAGGCTTCTTTGTGGGGGGCAGGGGAGGGGCAGAGCAGCATGAATTCAATGAAACCTAAGACTTCCTGTGAAGCTATTTATACAGAATCAACTTGCTTTAGGTAAAGTAGATTTCCTGAACAGAGACTTGCTTTAAAAATTTTTTTATTACAATTAAAATTACACAAAAGCAAATCAATTCATTTCAATCAAAATAACTCATGTTTACATCGTATTTAATAAACTGTACAAAAAATACATAAACTGTTTTCACATTGTGCTTCAATCATCATCTTCTTCCTCTTCATCACTGATCACGTACTTCTTATGCTTTTTACTTGCTTTATCATCATCATCTGCTTTTCTCTTTCCAGAGGGTTCCCCTTCCTAGACAAATAAAATTTTTAAAAATCTGAAAGTCAATAGGAAATATTTCTAGGAAGGTTTATCAAAAGTAGCTCTGAGCTGAATGATCCTATGAAAACACAAAATCAAATAATTTTTAAAATAAGAACATTCACCAAATGAATAAAACCAGTGCTAGTTTCCAAATCTACAAGTACTAGAAGCATTAAAAAATGACAACTATCTAGAGCTAATTATAAACCAACTATAAAACAACCCAACTTCAGGACTGCAAGGAAGAGCTAGGAAATTATAAGCAATCTCTTGGAAGGGAGACCTTGTACATGGAGAAGGGAACTGGAAACTAGGTCTGCCCTGGGAAGGGTCAGGGCTCTCCAAAGAAGTCTGCCTGTTATAACCACTGATCCTGTTGAATATTTTTACTGTGATCAGGTGACTGATTAAACTTTTCCTCTGCTTCCTCAGCATTTCACCTCTTATCTAAAATTCAGTATTTTAGGGGCGCCCTGATGGCTCAGTTGGTTAAGGGTCTGCCTTCGGCTCAGATCATGATCGCAGGGTCCTGGGATCGAGCCCCACATCGGGCTCCCTGCTCAGTGGGGAGTCTGCTTCTCCCTCTGCCCCTCCTCCCTGCTCGTGCGCTAATAAAATCTTAAAAAAATAATAACATTCAGTATTTTAAAGACCATTAATTTTTTAAAATAATGATTTCCTATTTTGGATATACTAAAAACTCACATCATAAAGGCTTTAAAAATATTTGAAGAAGTTAAAGGTTTATTTCACAAGTCTGCATTACTTAAAATCATGTACGATGTTCTGATAGAAACAATTCAGTTTTGAATTTTTACAGATAGAACTCAATATATCAACACCTAAATAATATCAAATATTGACTAAAATGAATTGATATAAAATATGACACTGCAGAATTGCCTTCACTGGCTTCCTCACCAAAAATTAAACAGGGTGGATAGTCTGAAGGCTGAAATTGGGGAAGGCCGGGCAGCTCTCGCTATGACCCGAGAATGCTTCTGGATGTACAAGCTGGCCTATCATCTACTTTTTCTGATGGTCCCTATGACTGGCTCTTTGAGGAGCAAGATACCATCCCACACTTGCTTCCTGCCTTATTATCCCAAACGCAACCCCACAGACCTGAAGTGCCATAGGAGAATTCAAAGGAGAAGGTTATGAATCCAGAAAGAGATCCAGAAGTCCTCCTGCACTTACTTCCTAGCCAGCAACAGTAAAGTTATCCAAACAGCAAAGCGGGAATATGGATCCCGCCTTCAGGGTGTGACTAGCTCGCTGGTTTCTACTTCTATAGCCTGGAGCAAACCAAGATAACTTCCCTTCTCTCCCAACCCAACATCAGCAAAGGCAAAGAGGACATTCAATCCTACCATTGGTCTTTTCATTTATTTTCAACTGAAAGTCTTATTTTAAACACTTTACATGCAAGCCCGCTTGTGGCAACCTTCCCTACATAAACCTCAGTTTTTTCTTCAGCTCTAAACATCTTCATTTCTAAAATTCTCTAAGGAGTTTAGTTTGAGTGAACTAAAGAACTGGCATGGTACTTCCCAAAGGTGGTAGAGCCTGAAACCAAGAAAGAGACTCTTAACTACAGACAACAAACTGATGGTTACCAGAGGGGAGGGGGACAGGGGGATGGGTGACATAGGTGATGGGGATGAAGGAGGGCACTGGTGATGAGAACGGTGTTGTATGGAAGTACTGAATCATTAAATTATCTGAAACTAATACTACACTGTATGTTAATAAACTGGAATTCAAATAAAAACTTTAAAATAAATAAGTAAAAGGTGGTAGAGCCTGTCCTCAAGGATGCAGGACAGGGCCCAGCAGATTAGAGACGATCAGGGCTCTCCAAACAAGTCTAATTGGCACCAATCCTAATCCACTGTCTGGGGTAAAACGCTCCAGAATTCTGCTTGGGAAATCCTGCCAGGACTGATTTCCCCAGCAGCTACAGGCAAGCACAGTAAAGCACAGCAAAGGAATGCAGGACTTAGTGAATGGCATCCTTCAGGAGACCTCATATTGTGCAAGTAAAAACGTGGGGTTCTACTCTACTGAACTGAGCTGGAATAAATCTCAGTGCCATGTATAAATGCAACAAATGACAGAAATATTCCTCTTATTAGACTGAAGTTTGCTAACATAACCATGAATGCAAGTCCATATAAAGGAATGGCAGCACAGTTTTGAAGGAATTATCTTCCAATAATTTAAAACTAATAGTAACTAATTGTAATTGTTTTTAAAACTAACTGATTTTTCTCATACTAATAAGCCATCTCCCAGAGTTTATTTAACACAAAACATACCTAAGAATATATATATAAACAGGAGTGTCTTAAAGTATGAGAGACCAACACCAAGAATGTCAAAGGCTTCCAGGGAAATATATTCAGAATCCCTATCATGGGAAATCTTATACCAGAGGGCAAGCTGGGGCTATGCTAGTTCCAAGTCACCTATGGTCCCATAAACAGAGAGTAAGGACCTCTAACAGGTAAGGCAGGGTTGCCAAGGTGGGGAATGGAGGCTCCATGAGGGAGAGCTGGGAGAGGAACCAGACCACTGGGTACTACCTTCTAAATAATCCTTCTCAGCAGGTCACCTGCTCCATCTAAGAAAGCTGAGGACTGGTCATGATCCTTTCCTTTCCGTTGTCTTCATGTTTCTTCTACTTGGGTCTTTCCTTTTTCCACAGTTTCTCCTCTTACCCATTTTTCTACCTTCCAAGTTATATAGGTTTTCTAAAGTTGTTTACTGCTTACAAAAATAAAGGATGATAAAAAAGCTACTTTTCTCCTTTTTTGTAACTTAGACCCTGTTGGGGAAGGGAAACTAGCATTTCCTGTTCAGATACTACATGTTACCCTGCTACCCACTTCCGAATCTGTTATTATCATGCAACAACTTTGCAAGCAGCAAGCATAAATGCCATTGAAGAGATGAGGAAACAGATGCAGAAATGAGATGACTTGATCAAGGCCATACGAGTGGCCAAGATTCAATAATCCAGTTCACTATAATCCAGACTCATGCCCTTTCCCCCCATATCACAGAAAGCTCTGCTGATAATGGTGATTCTCTGGGAACTTAGAATTTGCAAGCTCTGCTGCATCTCACCCAGGCTCATGGCGTCTGGACGGGGCTTAGTGCACAAACAGCGAGAGGGACCTAGTGCAGGTCTGACACCTTACCTTCTCTCTCCCACTGCA